TTTCACTGAACAAGAGCAAATAATACTAAAATTTGTACAGAACCACAGAAGACTCCAATAGCCGAAGCAATCTTGAAAAAGAAAAACAAAACCGAAAGTATTAACAATTCCAGATTTCAAGATACACAACACAGCTTCAGTAATCCAAACAGTATGGCACTGGCACAAACACAGACACATAGATCAAAAGAACAAAAGAGAAAACCCAGAAGTAAACCCATAATTATATGGTCAATTAATCTTCAACAAAGGAGGCAAGAATGTACAATGGGGAAAAGATAGTCTCTTCATTAAATGGTGCTGGGAAAACTGAATAGCTACATGAAAAAGAATGAAACCAGACCATTTTTTAACACCATATAGAAAAATAAACCCAAAATGGATTAAAGACGTGAATGTAAGACCTGAAACCATAAAATTCCTAGAAGAGAACACAGATAGTAATTTCTCTGACATTGACCTTAGCAACATTTTTCTTCATATGTCTCCTCCTAAGGCCAGAGAAACAAAAGCAAAAATAAACTATTGGAAATACACCAAAAAGCTTTTGCACAGCAAAAGAAGCCATCAACCCACGGAAAAGGCAACCTACTAAATGGGAGAGGGTATTTGTAAATGATATATCTGATAAGGGGTTAGTATCCAAACTATATAAAGAACTTTTACAACTCAAACATCAAAAAAACAAAACAAAAAACCCTACACAATCCAATTAAAAAGTAGGCAGAGGTGTTGAATAGAAATTTCTCCAAAAAATACATACAGATGGCCAACAGACACAGAAAAATATGCTTAACACCACTAATCATCAGGGAAATGCAATTCACAACCACAATGAGAGATCACTGCACACCTGTCAGAATGGCTAAAGTAAAAAAGAAAAGAAACGAGAAATTAACAACGGTTAGAAAAGATTGTTGAGGAAAAGGACCCTCATGCACTATTGGTGGGAATGCAAACTGTGCAAGCCACTGTGGAAAACAGTATGGAAGCTCCTTAAAAAATCAAAGAACAGAAATACCATATGAACCAATAATTCTAGTACTAGGAACTGACCCAAGGAAAATGAAAACACTGATTCAAAAAGAATCATGCACTCTTCTGTGTACCGTAGTATTATTTATAATAGTTAAAATATGGAAGCAACCTGTGTGTCCATCAATAGATGAATGGATAAGGAAGATGTGGTATATACATACAATGGAATATCACACAGCCATTTGCAGAAACATGGATGGACCCTGATGGAATTATGCTAAACAAAATTAGACTGACCGAGAAAGACCAATGCAGTATGATTTCATTCACGTGGGATCTAAAAAACAAAATGATTAGACAAAGAGCAGAATCAGACCTATAAACACAGAGAAAACACTAATGGCTGCCAGTGGGAAGGGGGAATGGGCAAACTGGGTGAATGGTAATGGGAGATACATGCTTCCAGTTACGGAACGAATAAACCAGAGAATAAAAGGTACAGCACAGGAAATACAGTCAATGATATTGTAATAGGATCATATGGTGAGAGATGGTAGCTACACTTGTGGTGAAAACAGAGAGAGTTGTTGAATCACTGTCATGTACCTGAAATGAATATAACATTGTACGTCAACGGTATGCATATAAAATTTTTTAATAAATAAAATGCTAACTAATCAAAACTTCAAAACAAAAAAATAAAGTTGTAAATACACACATGAAACTACATGGCTGGCTCAGAAGATGCCTCTTCTTTGTAAGTCAGTATAAATCCGCTAAAAATGCAATAAAAACTAGGTGCTTCTGACGGACTTGTATCTTACCCATAGTTCACAAAACCTAACATCAGTTTTAAACATTGTAATGTCAATTTCTAAATAAGAAGTTAGATACATATTGCCCCATATCACTAAGAATTCTGCCAACCTAATAAAGGCAAATGAAGTTCACGGTGACCCCGAGGGGTTCCCCAATTCATCACTGACAGACACAGACGAGATCATGGCTAAACCATCCTAGGCCAGCGGGTCTATTTTAAACATTATCAGATAAGAATATTCTATAATCTCTTCTTGGTGTCTATTTCCTATTCTAAAAGCTCTTTATTTATTTAAAAAAAATTTTTTTTTGTTTCTTTGATTTATTTTTGAGACAGAGAGAGACAGAGCACGAATGGAGGAGGGGCAGAGAGAGAGGGAGACACAGAATCTGAAGGAGGCTCTAGGCTCTGAGTCAGCACAGAGCCCAACGTGGGGCCCAAACCCACGAACCATAGATCATGACCCGAGCCAAAGTCAGAGGCTTAACCCACTGAGCCACCCAGGCACCTCTAAAAGCTTTTAAACTATGTAAATATCACTTCCCCACCTGAATCCCACCCCTCCCCCAGGCTGTAGTGCACTTTGTTCTCCATGAAGATGGAAAACATTATTCCTCATCGGCTCAGCAGCAAAGCACCTAGTATCTCCACCACGGCTTGCTAATAGGTAGAGTTCCTTTTTGATTTTTGATCTACCAGGGCTTCCCCAAATTCTGGCTTAACTCTTTCACATACTTCTTTCCCCTCTCAAAGATCTCCCATGATTCTCCCCATTAGAGTGGGATCACATCTGCCTTATTCACCTCCTGTCCTGTTACCCAGCACAGGACCACGTACACAGCAATCATTCAATAAGTATTTACTGAAAGAACAAATAATGAATGAAAAGACCTATTTTCCTCCCTTTCTTCCCATTTCACTCAAGAATAAAATCAGTGAATCGCAGCTATCGTGTTCAAGGCAGAGAGATGGCTGACCTGTGGCGCCATGTTGGATCCAGCATAATTGTCACTCTGGAGAGAACTTTGAAGGGATGAAAATGGACAACTTTAATAAGAGCCAACAATGCAATGCGATTCCTTTCCATTATATTTACCTAGCTTCTGGCGTTTCAGCCTATCTGATGGCTTACTGGTATCCACTTCTGACTCTAAAGGACACATCCTAATGTGATGATGAATAAATTCATCACACAGAATTTATTATTTCACAATCAGGAGAAACCCGTTATGTAGATGCTGAAAGCACGTGGACACATTTTCCTGTGCCCTCCAATGCAGGAGTTTTTCTCCACTGTGGCTACAATTTGCCAGTTTTACTCAACGGCAACTGACACTGTTCGCCAAAGCACTGGGGAACCAGAGCAACAGGCGCTGAATTCATAGCTAGAATGATGATCATGGGAAGGGTCATCTGGACTCTGGAGACTTGGTTTTCTACTACTTGCCTACAGTTGACCTCACATGACCAACGGCAAGTTAGTTCATTTCTAGGGCCTTGGTTTTCTCAGTTGACACACAGTTTGGATAAAATGGTTTATAGGTCTCTTGAAGTTCTTACAAGTTACGATTCTACCTAAAAAGTGATGGTTATGTGGAGTCAGAATTCTTCAGGAAACAAGCTGATGTAGTCCTGGTTGGGCAGGCAGCAGAGAAAGCCTGCCCTGTGCCTGGTAGCTGAGAAGACCCTCCCCCTCACCCCCCTGCCAACTCTGACCATCCATACAGGATGAGATGCCTGGGCCAAGGGTACACCCTGAATCCTGCACCCCCTTTTATTTATTTGTATTGTTTAAAATTTTCTTTAATATTTATTTTTGAGACAGAGACAGAGTGTGAGCAAGGCAGGGGCAGAGAGAGAGGGAGACACAGAATCCAAAGCAGGTTCCAGGCTCTGAACTGTCAGCACAAAGCCCCACGCAGGGCTCGAACTCACAGACGGCAAGATCATGATCTGAGCCAAAGTCTGACGCTCAACTGACTGAGCCACTCGGGTGCCCCCGAACCCCCCTTTTATATCACATTCTGGGCCTTGGGTACTTGGGGACCACTGAATTCATTGCCCGGATGGTCAAGAGCTTCCAGAAGATGAAGTTTGAGTGGTGGGCTGGTGGGGGGTCCACATTCGTGCCCCAGAGGTTCCTTGAGGTAGGGGATGGGACTCCGGTGGGTAGAGAAAGCCAAGGGGAGAGTGACCATATTTGTATTTTTGTCCAGGTCTAAGAGATGTTATTGGGAGACCTACTGGAGGTTGTTTTAGGATTACACGATTACAGAAAAGGTAAAGGAGATGGACGGAATGAAGCAGCACCTTCCCATGGCCTGCGGAAAATCTAAAATAAATCACTCTGTGTTCTGGACCTTTGAGGTTTTGTATAATCCATTAAATATAATCGGCTCCCTCTTTCTCTATGACTGCCTGTTCGAGGATACAAAGTTGAATAATAGCCTGCTGCCCCTGTTCCTGAGAGCACATGAGGAAATATTTTATTGTGTACTGCCTTGTAGCCTCTGTCTTCCTGCAGGTGAGAGAGGCATTTAAATGTTGAAGTTGACCTTGGAAAGCCTTTTTTTCAGGATTACTATGAGGACAATTTTATGATACCCAAAAGCTGAGTTAGAATCAAAGGCAGGCAAAGTGAGGGAGAAAAGTAAATACTATATACAGAAACAGAAATGGGGGCCAAAACAGTCTATTTGATCTGTGTTTAGGGAGGGCTATGGAATGCATGAGTAGGTAGAGACAAAGTTTCTGGATCTAAAAAAAGGCAACCTGGTAAATGGGTGCTTGGTTAATGGAAAGTCCTGGAAACACAGTGGTTCCTTTAGAAAGGTTTGGGAATAAAATTAAATGGATCAATATACACACATACAGAGGATAGGCCGCTAGGAGCAGATATTTGTAAAGAAGCTGGAAGGCATCGGGAGAAACAGATTTCTCCTAATGGCAATATAAGGAGTCTGGTCCTTTAGGAGTGAAACAGAGAATCAACTATAGAAACTACAGTCATGGTTCTGAGGGTTTGTTTTGGACTGTCAAAAATAGATCCTCTTAACAATTACTGTTATGTTTTCTTACTACTTGTACCTGTTAAGTGTAGGTATGACTTCTATTGATTTTTAAATACATGTTAAACTTGTCTTTAGCCAACGTGCTGAACCTTCCATATTAGTTCTTTTTCATTCTTTTAAAGTAGGCTCCATGCCCAACGTGGGATTCAAACTCATGGTCCTGAGATCCAGAGTCACACGCTCTACCAACTGAGCCAGCCAGGTGCCCCACTTGAATATATTTTCTTTCTTTCTTCTTTTCCTTCCTTCTTTCTTTTCTTAAGGTCTGTTTATTTTTGAGAGCAGGACAGAGTGCGAGTGGGGGAGGGGCAGAGAGAGAGAGGGAGACACAGAATCCGAAGCAGGCTCCAGGCTCCAAGCTGTCAGCACAGAGCCCAATACAGGCCTTGAACTCATGAACTGTGAGATCATGACCTGAGCCAAAGTCGGACGCTTAACCGACTGAGCCACCCTGGTGCCCCACAGTAATACATTTGCTAATGTTAACCTGTCCTTGAATGGATAAACCCACTTGGATATCTCTTTCCCCCTCCATCTCTGTTTAGTCTGAGAATATTTAATCTATGTTTGCAAGTAAAACTGATCTACAGATTTTCCTTTCTCATAAAGTCTTTTCGGTGCTGTGTTTATACAATAGAATGGGAAGTCTTCTCTCACTTTCTTTCTTCTGTAATAATTTGTTCCTTGACAGTACGATAGAATTTGGCTAAATAACCACCTAGACCTATCTTTTTTAAAGAAGGGTGATTTTAAATTACTGTACTTAGTATTTATCCAGAGTATATAAAGCAGTAAGAGGAAAACAACTCAATTAAAAATAAAGTCAAAAGGTTTGAACAAAGATATAAAAATGGTACATTAGTACTTGAGCAGATGCTTAATGCCCTTAATCATTAGGGAAATGCATTTAAACCACAAGGAGATACCACTCATGCTTATTAGAATGGCTAAAATAAACGAATGGACAATACCAAGTACTAATGCCAGCACAAAGCAAGTAGAAACCTCACTGCATTGGAAAACAGCATGGCAGTTTCTTATAAGCTAAAATATACCCTTAACACATGACCCTGCAATCTCTGTCATTTACTCGGGTGAAATGACAACATGCTTACATATAATTGCTCCAATCTAGAAACAAACCAAAAGCCCTTCGACTGGTCCAATGGAAAAACTGATACATCCATGAAACAGCATACTTTTTCTCAAGAAAAAAGGAATGAATTACTGATACAGGCCACAGCGTGGTGCATCTGAAATGCATTCTCAAAAGGCTACAAACTTTCTAATTCCATGTATGTAACATTTTGGAAAAGACCAGGACAGAAAACAGATCAACTGTTACAGGGGCTGGGATGGGAGGAGACGTTGTCTACAAAAGGGCATGAGGGAATTTTTTTTAAAGTTTATATATTGTTGAGAGACAGAGCATGAGCATGAGCAGGGAAGGGGCAGGGAGAGAGGGAGACGGAATCTGAAGCAGGCTCCAGGCTCTGAGCTGTCAGCACAAAGCCCCAAAGTGGGGCTTGAACTCATGAACCACAAGATTATGACCTGAGTGGAAGTCAGATGCTTAACCAACTGAGTCACATAGGCACCCCTTGGGAATTTTTTTAGAGAAAAAAAACCCAAAAAACAAAAAACCAAGACAACAACAAAAACATATCTATATCTTAATTGTGGGGGGGTTATATGTCTGAACATAATTATCAAAACTCTTAGAACTAATACATGAGAAAGGGTGAATTTTATTGTATATAAATTATATCTCAATATAAAAAAGATCTGGAAAAGAAAGAGGATGGTTAAACTCCAGATTTAATTTCAATACTAGTTATAATTTATTCAGGTTTTCTATTAGCCTCCATTTTTGCCACTCGTATTATTTTCTGGGAAGTTTGAACTTCGGTTTTTAAGTTTTTCGATAAGTTGACAAGTTTTTCCTTTTGATTAAAAAGACTGAACTCTAGCTATAGCTATGTTCTTTTCATTTCTATTATTTTTTAAATTGTGTCTTTATATAGTTTTGCTAGAATTTTATCTGTTTTGGACGTTTTTTCAAGTAACTATTTTGAAGGTTTTATGAACCTTATCTACTGTTTATCTGGTTTCTGATTCATTAACTTTGGCTCTTTTCAATCTTATTTTCAAAGGTATGCATTTAAGATTATATATTTCCTTCTACTGCCTGCTTTATATTTCATATGTGTCTGAAATGTAATATATTTATTTTCAGTAAGGTCTAAACATTTAACATGGAGTATAACTTATTCTTTAGTCAATAAACCATTTGGATATTTATTTTTTAATTTCTAAACTTATAATGAGCTTTGGCTAACTTATAGCTTAATTGTATATTTTTATTTTCTATATCTTTACTATTTTTTGTCTGAACAGTTATTGGGAGATATACATTTATAGACTTGTTCATTTAAACTTGTATTCTACCAACTTTTGCTGTATATATTTTGAGACTATAAAGTTAGGTGCATACACATTCTGAATTGTTATAGTTTCCAAATGAATTATTCCTTTTATCAATACATACTGAACTTTATAAGTGTTTCTTGACTTGAAATATATTTTACTTGGTATTATTAATGTAGATCAACTAGCATTCCTTAAAAAAACATTTGTTGGTTTATCTTTTTATGCTCTTTTAAGCTTCTCTATATCCTTATATTCAAATATATTTTATAAGTAGCTTACATCTAGATTTTTGTTACATACTTCTTAGCAACCCTAATCGTTTAGCTGGCATACATAGACCATTTATGTTTATTGTAATCTCTGATATATCTGGACTTATTTCTATACTTATTCTATGCTAGTGACCATGATTTTCCTTCTTTCATTCTGTATTACCTTCTTTTAGAGTAATGAGGTTTCTTTTCATCCTTTCCCTCTTCACTGGTTTAAGCTATACATTTTACTTCTATTGTTTTAGTGGTTAGCCTTAAATATTTAATATGCTTGACATAAAATGTTCAAAATGGGGGCGCGTGGGTGGCTCAGTCGGGTCGAGCGTCCAACTTCAGCTCAGGTCATGATTTCGCGGTTCAAGAGTTCGAGCCTCCTGTCGGGCTCTGCTGACAGCTCAGAGACTGGAGCCTGCTTCAGATTCTGTGTCTCCCTCTCTCTGACTCTCCCTGGCTTGGACTCTGTACTCTGTCTCTCTCTCTATATAAAATAAATAAAATTTAAAACAATTTTTTGAAGTTCAAAGTGAATCACTAATTGTCCACCTCCAGAATTACATAGAGAGTTTAGAACAACTTAACTCAGATCATCCTCTCCTATTTTACATATGTAGTACACTGATTTTTATCAATCCCCCCAATTGCTTACAATGTTTATTTTTAAGCAATCAGCACTTACTTGTATCCATAAAACCTTACCAATTTCTTTGCTCATGATTGCTTCCTGTGTTCTACTCCTTTATTGTGGGTTCTAGCTCCTTCTTCCTGAATTATATTCTTTTTCATTTCTTTTGGGGACTCTCTTTGTAGAAACTCTTCTAGATTTTTATTGCTAAAAATATTTTTAAATCACCGGAACCATGTCTTACCGGGGCACAAAATTGTTGGTTAGTTGTGTTTCTCTTCAGTGCTCTGAAGATAATAATTTTTGTGGTCAGTCATCTCTAGTGTAATGACTTTGAGCAAAGTGATGTTTCTGAGAGCCATTAGTGACTCAGACTCATAAGGAAGAAGAGAAAGGATATAAACAACATTGGGAAGAAAAATAGTGTTCTGGGCACAGCAGAGGGAAGTCAGTGCTGGCCCCAAAAAACCTGATAGTGCCTAGACCTAATAGTCCCTTCTTGGCCCGTAAGTATACTTTCTCTTGAAGCATTAACATCTCCTCTGGTTCTTAAGAAAGGGCTGTGAGAACGATCCTAACCCGCAATTCTCTGTGAATGGTTAGCCAAACTAGGAGAAGAGCTAGGTAGGCGAAGGCGGCCCCCATTTCTTCTACATTCCTAAATTCTCTGTAAGGGAAGCCTACCGCAGTAACAGTTAAAGAGCAAACCAGGGCGCCTGGGTGGCTCAGTCCATTGAGCATCTGACTTCAGCTCAGGCATGATCTCACAGTTCGTAGGTTCGAGCCCCACATCAGGCTCTGTGCTGACAGCTCAGAGACTGGAGCCTGTCTTCGGATTCTGTCTCCCTCTTTCTCTGACCCTCCCCCAATCACAGTCAGTCTCTCTCTCTCTCTCTCTCTCCCAAAAATAAATAAAACATTAAAAAAATTTTAAAAGAGCCAACCATACTTCTTTTTGCCTTCCTATTCAAATCAGTTTTCAGATAATAAATATCATGCAGCCTTTTCATATAGTCATAACCTGGAGCAGTGCACGGCGAGAGTTTGTGCAAAGAGATAATTTGCTAACAGGAAGAGTAAATAGCACGTCTATCATTTCCGCTGTTACTATATCTGAATGCAGCTGAAAACTTACTTAATAAAATTCGACATGGTTTCCCCGCATGTGTTGATTTAGAAGCAAAGGATATTACAGCTGGCAAAGGCCTCAGAGGCCGTCTATTCTGAACCCTTCACTTTATGCATGAGCAACAGCTCTGGGGGAGTTAGTCCAAAGGCAGAACCCAATTTGGGACAAGAAAATGAGTTTATGCCAAGAACTTGAGTACTGTCAGGACTCCACTCAAAATCATTATTGATATAAGCCTTGGTTTTATTCTCCTACACTTTCTTGGGTACGTGCAAAGAGTGATACTTCCAGGATTTTCTTACCTGGTGTTTTAAACATTGTACTCTGGGGGTGACTGGGTGGCTCAGTTGGTTAAGTGTCCGACTTCGGCTCAGGTCATGATCTCACGGTTTGTGGGTTCGAGCCTCACGTCAGGCTCTGTGCTGACAGCTCAGAGCCTGGAGCCTGTTTTGGATTCTGTGTCTCTCTCTGACCCTCCCTATTCATACTCTGTATCTCTCTCTCTCTCTCAAAAATAAACAAAAATTTTTAAAAAATAAAACAAATATCACCCTCTAGATTTACTCTCTATTTGTGTGAAGAAATAATCCATTGACTATTGGACACATTTCTGATTTACTGTTGATATAACAGATTTCCTGTACTAGAAGTGCTTGCTGTATTCTTTCTAAAAAGATTCTCATTTTTTGCTCCACCTGAAAACTCTTCTCGTTTTCTACTATTAGGGACTCAAGCCGTGAAAAACTTCCCT